GGAAACTTAAGCTGTGAACAATCTTAATCTCTTCATCATCCATCATGATGCTGCCAATCAGCCCAGTGGTGAAAATCTTTGTTTTCTTGATATTGAGCCTCAATCCATACTTAAGGCAGCAGTCCCTGACCTTCCACAGCAAGCACTTCAGGTCCTTCTCACTTTCAGAAAGCAGGGTTGTGTCATCTGTATAATGCAGATTGCTGATAAGTCTTCCTTCAATTCTGATGTCACATTTATCCTCATAGAGCCCAGCCTCCCCGATAATGTGTTCTGCATAGAGATTGAAAATGTATAGAGACAGGACACATCCCTGACATACACCCTTCACAATTTTTAACCATGCAGTGTTTCCTTGCTCTGTTCTGACGACTGCCTTCTGGTCCAAGTATAGGTTTCGCATAAGCACAATCAAGTCTTCTGGGATTCCCATTCTTCTTAGAGTCAGCCTCAGTTTGTTGTGATCCACACAGTCAAACGCCTTTGCATAATCAATGAAACACATATAGACATTCCTCTGGTATTCCCTGCTTTCAGCCAATATCCATCTAACATTAGCTACAGTATCCCTAGTACCACGACCCCTTCTAAGCCCAACGTGCACTTCTGGTAGTTCGCTGTTGATGTGCTGCTCTAGTAGTTTTTGGATAATCTTCAGCAGAATCTTGCTTGCATGTGATATTAATGATATTGTTCAATAATTTCCACACTCTTTTGAATCACCTTTCTTTAGAATGGGAACATAGATCTCTTCCAGTCAGTTGGCCAAGTGTTTTTTCTCCAGATTTCTTGACACAACTTGATGAGCACATCTAGGGCAGCATCTGTTAGTTGAAATATGTCAATTGGTATACCATCAATTACTGGGGACTTAGTATACCAAAAGCAAGTTAGAGGGGGGAGATAGATAGATAGATAGATAGATAGATAGATAGATAGATAGATGATAGATAGATAGATAAATAGATAGATAGTAGATAGAGGTAGATAGATGATAGATAGATAGATAGATAGATAGATAGATAGATAGATAGATGATAGATAGATAGATGATAGATAGATCTAGAGATAGATATAATCTCATTTTTGTTAGAAGGAATAAATGCAACATGCATGCATGTATTTATAACATGAAAAGAGTTTGGAAGAACACATGATAATCTATTGATGCTGGTTACTGCTAGAGAGTAGGATGAGGGATTGAGGAATATATATAGTCTCTAAGAAGGTCGGACATGTTCATTCCCTTTTGAACAGTGAACATGCACCAATTTTGAAATTCAAGAAATTATAAAACAGTTAACATAAGCATTCTCCAGGTCCACCAAATGTTGTTTAAGTACTGTTTTTAATGGTAGCATGATATTACATTTCAATAATTATTCATATAGGGAGTACTGGTGGCACAGTCTGTAGGGAGTTGCATTGTTAACCTAAAGGTAGTGTCTCCCTGGCAGTTCAAATCCAGTAGTAGATACATGGGAGAAGGATGTGGAATATCCTCCCCTGTGATTTACAGCTTCCTGAAAACTGACTGGAAAGTCAAGTACAAGTCAGTTCTAACTTGATGGTAATGAATTTTCTGAATATATATATATATATATATATATATATATATATATATATATACACACATACACACACATATACATACACACACATACACACACTTCAGGTCTTTTGTTCATAGAGTTGCTATCAAATATATATAACTTTCCCCCTGTAAACTGGCATTTTCATTTTTACTACTTCTAGCTAACTATTCAATGTGAGAGCTATAATATCAACCTCATTGCCTGCACTGTGCTTGTGAATACGTCTCAAGATAACTAACATACATAGTGTATATACTTTGAGATTGGCTGACTGTGTCTGCCAGGAATTGAACCTAGGTCAACTGCTTGGAAAGCAGCTATGTTCACCCCTTTACCACCAATGCAGCCTACTGGTGGCCTAGTGGCAGGAAGCTGCACTTCAATCCCTAAGACAGGTGGGTGGAGGACATCAGCAGCTCCTGTGTGATTCACTGTCTCTGAAAACCTGTCAGAGGGTCAGTTATGAATTGGTTCCAACTGTACTGTACACAACAGCAACAACATACTTTAAGGCTTCCCTTTTAGTGGAGATGACTTTACAGACGTCTTCAAAGCACTTCGCTCGGGTATAGTCACAGCATGATGCTGGTATCTCATTCGGAAATTGACCATGATCTTAGCCTTCTCATCCATTTGACTATAAGTCTGAAAAAGTTGCCCAGAACTGGAATCTTGAACTATTTGTTATATAATCTATTTTACACCAATTAAATATCAGACAGCTTGGGACAAATTTTTTAAGTAACAACAAATGTTAGAAAGTGTTTGTTAGGTTTGGGTCCATAAATTTTTACTGTCCACCTTTCTTTGATTTGTCATGTAAACTTTACATCATATGGACTCCCCCCACTAAAAAAAACAAACACCCAAATCCAAAAACACCCCACTGCTGTCAAGTTCATTCCAACTCTCTGTTGGTTTTCTAAGGCTGTAAATCTTTGTGCCCACTCTCTCTCTCTCTGTGTGTGTGTGTGTGTTTGTGTGTGTGTGTGTGTGTGTGTGTGTGTTGAGTGAACGTTTACAAAGCAAAGTGATTAGCCATTCAGACATGTTGTGTTTTATAACTTTAACTACAGTACCCACAATGTTACTGCAATTTTCCTCATTTCAGCATTGTAATTTTTATTCCATTAATTCTCTATTCTACTCTTCCCTGCCTTCTGTCCTTGATCCTTAGGCAAACACTGCCCTTTGGCTTTGTATAGGTGGTTATCCTATACAATATACTTTATACTATAAAGTGCCTCCTTAGTGTTAGGGGTCACAGGAGGAGACTGTCTATCTTTCTGCTTGGAGCAGCTGTGGATTCCAACTGCTGATCTTTTGGTTAAAAGTCCAACTCATGCATAGCACACGACACTGCCAATGCTCCTTAAATTACTATGTGAACAGTATCCCACTATTCTTCATAAATACAGAAGACTTCCAAGAAGAGATGGTCTTCCAAATTTACAAGCTTCCCCACAATGCCATCAGGGAAGTTTCTTTCTAAGAATAGAAGAATTTTAAAGCACAGTTGATTTTGAGCTGAGATAAAACTGGGTGCAAAACATTTCTAGCCAATCTATTTTTATCAAGGAGGACTTGTAAAAGAGGAGAGCTCTGATATGCACTACATTCAAATGGAAAAAAGGAGGTAGTTTGAGAAATGCAAAGAAAGAGTCTAACCAAACTTCCTTCTTGAGATCTTGCCTTACTAAATTTTTTCTTGTGTCCTAATTATATAGCTATTGCCACACATCACCACTCTTAAAAGCCTACTCAAAAGCTTTTTCTCAACTAAATAGTGCCCAGTTACTATTGCTGACCACTGTAAAGAAAGGATTACAATAGAAGAAGATCCTATGTAAAGTAGGGGGAAATGTGGAACAAAACTAAAAAAATATATATTAAAAAAACCCCACATCAGACTTACTGGTCTAATAGAAGCTAGTGGAACCCTCAAGATGATGGCCCTTGGTCACTCTTCAAACCTGGAATAACACACTAATCTGTGGCTCAACTTTCAGCCAAACAACAGGCTATAAGATGAACAGTAACACCAAGGAGGCATTCACTCCTTAGAACAGCCAAACATATAGGGTCTCAAGAGCAGCATCTTCCAAGGGTAAAGCTCAGAAAGCAAGAAGTTGGAAGCTAGAAGGATTAATAGGCATGAGAATCACAAAGAAGTATGAAGAGTAGTGCTATTACATTGTGGATATTGTAGTTAAATGTTCTAAAACAAAATGTGTATAAATGGTTGAATGGAAACCCAATTTGCTTTGTAAACTTTCACTCAAGTCACAATATACAGCAACAAAAACCCTATTTCTCCCAGGAAGAGGGTTAAATTTACTATGGAAAAAGTAGTGAGACAAAAATACACATACAAACATAAGGATGGAGTAGACTTGACATTGTTCTCCCTGTCAGTAAGCCTGTGTCTGATATGTTTAACTTATGCTAATAAAGGAGATAAGTGTTTAAAGGATGGGCTTCAGACATAGTGTGTCAGTTTCTAAGAAGAATATTTTCGCAGTTCCTTCTCATGAATAAGTCCACTGAAGCAGAGAATACCCCTTTGGACCAGTTCCACTTTGTGCTTCTTTTGATGCTGCCTAAAAGGGGAATTAGAACTATGGCTTTTCCTTCAAATTTTAGGGCAAGTGTCCACTTCAGAGGTGGCTGCAAATGGCCCAAAGAAGGTGAGGCCCATACTGTGCAAAGGAAACACAAAGCTCCTAACAAGAGTAGAAATGTCAATGATAACTCATAAATCTTCCAAATGTGACAGCAAGTAGGGTTAATTGTCCTCTTTTCTGCCACTCTGTTTTCTCCAATGTGTTAGCCCATCACACGGATCACTGACTTTCTAGAAATATTCTCTGGCTGTTCGGGGATGTTCCTTTCAATCAGTGGCATCCCGTTTTCTAATGGTCCCTGGAATCTCAATTTCCTCAAAGGATTTTTCATTTGAATCTGGTTCATGTGAAGGTTTGGGTGTTTTGTGTTCATTTTTTTTTTCTTTCTACATTTTATGGCATAAAGGAATAGACAGAGCTTGTTTTACTTTTTCTTTATTTCACTAACTGAAAACCTTTGCTGAAGAGTCTGAAATTTGGGAACAATCCAGCTCATCTGTCAGATATTTCTTCAGTTACGTACAATGGAATGAAATTTGTAAAGTTTAGAACAGGAAAGGGAAAATGGGCTAATGTGTCATGTGTTCTATGAGATGAAAACTGCATGATAATCAGCCTCAAATTTTGTTAGACTGACTCAAAGCTCTCACTCTTTTATCAACTCATGCATAAACTAATAACATTCACTTTATTTTCTTCTTTCTTTGGGCTAAATCACAATCCCTACAGATTATAACCACATTTTCAAAGATATTTTCTCCCCAAAACTTAAGACACTCACGTTTTACTTGCTCTGCTTTGCTTCCTTCTAGGAAAAGAAAGAACAGCAACCAGGAAAAGATGTATTTCATGCCTCCCATCTTCCACTTTTTTCTCATTTTGAACACCGTAGAAAGGCAATTCAGGATCTTCAGGGCCCAATGTATGCAAACTGTCAGGAAAAAAAAATAGAGGGGAAAAATCCACCAAACTGAAAATGGACATTCTAAACTGATAAAAGACATGACTGCTAAGGCTTCTAATTTCCTAGGGGGGGCAAAATGATGGAGGATCTATATAAGGACCAGAATTGTTTTCCTACAAAAGAAAGAGGACTCGCCTGTCCTGTCTCAAATATTAGGAGATTCAAGCAAATGAACATAAGTTTCTACCTAAACGCTAAGTTTAAGTCATGGCAGGAAGGCCATAAAAAAGTAAAAGTAACAATTTAATTATTCTTTCCTGGTGGGAAAAATGCAGTTACATTTTGAGTAATAGAATTAATATTATAGAACAAAATGTCACATAGGCTGAACAAATGAAAATTTAACTAAATTGGAAATTAATTTGCTCTGTAAACTTTCACTCAAATATTAATTTTTAAAAAGAAACCCTCTTCCTAAAAGGGACTGAATTGATGTATCAAGAGAGTAATCATTTAAAAAAATACACACCAGAGATGCATCATCTTTGGGGGGAAAATAAAACTGAGGTCTGCAAAACTGCTGATTTGACAAACAAGATAAAAGTGATAGGTATAAGACCTAGTCAGCTTCTGAAATGAAAGTTAACTTAGCTTCAAGACTATTGTTCTTAATCTTTCAGAAATATTACTCCAGTATCTTCTATGAGATCTGTAAGTATCTTTGGTGTGGCTAGTCACATTGGAAAAGTTAGTTAGCAAGTAGATACAACAACAACAACAACAAAACCCCAGAAAAAAGTCTTATTGATTAGTATGGTGCATATACTTTGATCTGCCATGAAGTTCAATGTGAAAAGGAAATTTAAAATTAATCTTTGTAAATGGAGTGTAGACAGATTTAAATAGATTATTTGTTCATACTGCACCACCATGCAAAAGACTTCAGGTTAGGAATTATATATTTTCTCTTTAAGGCAACTAGAATTCTTAAAAATCTGACATTTGTTATACCCCAGTCTACAAGATGGAAATCTTAGACTTTTGAGCCACAGTGGAATCCAGAAAGTTTGATAAATAGCTAACATCCAGTCACAAGTCATTAGACTTGAGAGTTTGTAAAATTCTTCCAATGGGCTATTTGAAGACATTTAAATATTTTGAAAACCCCATGTTCAGTCTCAGGTTCACACTAAATGGGAACTGAATTTATTGATCTTTCCACAGGGTCCAACTTAAACACAGAGTATACAGAAATCAAAAGAATGTGAGACGACCATTCTGGAGGACTAAAATTTCTTTGAGCTCGGAAGCGGATGCCACAGCTTCTATTTCCTTGCCTGAAGTTATCCTAATATTAAAAAAATCCATTGTTTAAACATATGAATGTCTAGCTGAGGAGTGATTAACAATAAAGAATAATGTGTGCTATCTGGAAGTATTTGAAACATGTATCTTCCTTCTCTACAACCGTCCTGCTCCCTAAACGAGGATGTTGTTCTCCTAGGATACGTTCCTAATCGTTCAAATCCCAGGGTTCTGATTTATGTCTTCTTGTGAGCCTGTGGTCCACTTTCAATCACTCACTCAGAGCATCTTTGTCTCCTGAGGATTCCCTTGAAACAAGTAACTTCCATTAAGAGTTTAACAGACTTACTAGCCCCAGTGAGAGCCTTCTTGAGCCTACTTGAATATCCTTAAAGCCTCCAAATGAGAAAGATTTGTAGGCACTAAAATTCAACGTATTAGGATCCCATATAGATCTTCAGGGCTATTTCTGAAACCACAGTTTTCAGGGCTCCCCATGCAAGAATCAACAGGGTTGGGGGGTTTTTTTGTATAATGGCTGGGTGATTTGGTGAACAGTAGCATTGCTTCATACCTCAAATTGGCAAGAAAACGGCTCTTAGAATTCTTTTGCTTTTCTTGGGTCCCAACTAATGTTATGAGCAAATAGAAAAGTTGGTGACTAGAGGGCAATTAATCTCATTTGCTGCTCCTGTCATCTATGAGGCCTCTCAGGCTGTGATGGAGAACATCAGAAAAATCGCTTCATAAATTTTCACTTTTGATTTACAAGATCCTGAAGCCCTTCCTTTGTAGTCTCTGTAGAACTCAAAACCAAGAAAGATTTTCTCCTCAGTCTCCCCACCATTTCCTTTCTATTTTTAAATTTCCCCCTCTCTGGAGGGAGGGATTCAAAACATTTGTTGGGACTATAGCAGTAAACACAAGCAAGCATCGCTCAGCACACTTGTCCACTCTTATTCTTGCAAAGAGCCAAACTGTCCTTAATTTTTCAAATTATACTTTGACCCAGTTAACTGGAGTTATTTCTGCATTAACTCTCTGTCTGCTTCACATGGGCTGTTGTGCCACTGAACTTGCACTGGCTCACTCACAGGTCCCTTAGAAAAGCAGCCATTGACATATTGAGGAGGGGGATCCAGGACTCAAAAGAAACAAAGCCCTGCCACTAGCACTGGGGTTGGAAGGGTAGGTGGGCTTTTAAAAAGAACAAAAAACATAGCACATACCAAAAGAAAGGTATCTATCAAGGTATCTCTGTGAAACAAGCATTCATGTTGTTCATTTACATCGAGCAAAGGGACCAACTGCTCCTTGCTGTGCTGTAATTCCAAGGCTATTTGGGCCATCAGATGTCAAGATTCCACTCTCAAAGCTGGTCTCCTGGGTAGAACAGAGCTAACAGACCTCCCCAAAGGAAGGTTATGGGATGAGCACCAGTCTGCTAGTTCTTCACGCCCCATAGTGTCCCTTTAATTCCCTGGTGAGGCTTGACTGATCTTTTAATCTCACATTCATTATCATCTGTGGGACAACCCCCCAGCATAGCAATTTTCTTTCTGACAAACAATAAGAAGTCCCAGGAGTCTTGGGCCCTTGCCCATCAGCTGAAATCCTCTCCCTGTCTACTCTAACAAGAAAAGTTAACTGGTGGTGGGTTGCCATAGAAAAGTGGCAAGGCCATTGCTGCTTATGACTGATGAACAATGTTTTGCGTTTGGCTTGCAACATACCTCCCTATTGCTGAACGTTATTCCTCACAACTCCATCCTCAAAATGGGCTTCCTGAGGCCAGGAGAAGGAATACATGGGGCTTGCCCAGTCTCCGGGAGTTAGTGGTAAGGCTGAGAGGGATGCAAAGTCAAGGTTTTCTAATGATAACACCAAGCTCTCACAGCAAGATGCTCTCCTGAGCATCTCTGCCTCCAACCACGGTGGTCTCGGTCCCCAAAAGGAGCACATATCCAGAGGAGAAAGGAGTCTCTCCCCCATCGGCACTGTTTCATTAACTTTAGAGCGGCATTAATCACCTACTGGGGCCAGAGCACTTCAGCAAGTGAGAGAAGAGACTCAGGACACACGCGGTAATTAAGGGAACTGTAGAGCCCTGTTACTGAGCTTGGCAGGGAGTGCTCAAGTGGCCTCCCAAAGAGCCAGAAGATGGATAAAGATAGGCCAAGTGGGGAGTTCGAGTTTAGAGTCCCAAATTTGTTCTGGTCCCTCTCATAGCTCCTGGCTACTGGCAGGTGGGCCCTATAGTGGGCTGGGGTGGCAAATTGGGTTAAGTCTGGGGTGGCCCCATGGAAATCTCCAAAGTCAGCTCTGACCCAACAGTTGACACCCCACCTGTGCAAGAGGGTGGATGGGAAGAAAGAAGGTGGGGGAAGCGGGCACAGGGCACACTGCTCACTGACCTGGGCACTGGCCTCCTCTGTCTGCCACGCGTGCACAGGCTCTGAGCTCTCCGGGGCGCTCCTCTGAGGTCTGGGACTCGCAGGTTGTGGCAAGAGCTAGAGTGCGCGCGAGGGGGCGGGGTGAGTGGGGGGAGCCCAACTCAAAAGTGGGTGGGAGGAACAAAATCACCGCCCTCACACAGCCAGTGAGCAGCAGTTCTCGCTGGGATCGCAGGGGCAGAACCAGGCGCGCGGGTGGGCGGGTGCAGCGGCCCCGGGCCACCTGCCCTCTTGCCCGTTCGCCTGCTTCTCACTTGCTTCTCCCAGAGGCCAACTGCTTGGCCCTGGCGGGAAGACGCCCAAGTACACAGAGGCAAGCCCACAGCCCCCTTTCCACCTTGGCGCAATGACTTTATCTCTGCTCCCTGGACCCGAAAGTTAAGAAATCAGGAGAAAGTGTAAGGCTCAGCCAGCGACTTTCCCATCACGCAGCGTCCCCACTGCACCGCCCCCCCTTCCTTTGGCTAAGAGAGCGTTGGGGTCTTAAAGGGGCCGCACATCTCCTCCAGCCTCTCCTTTTCTGCCCTGGACACACCTACAAAAGCCCCCTCCACTCATGCTCGCCCTGATGACCTTGGTAAACTTCCAAGTTCCCTGTCAGTAACCCTCCTCCTTGGCAATACAGTGACCTACCTGGGTGCACCTGGTCCGGAGCTCAGTGCACTTGGATGGATGAGCATTCGATATCATTTGGGGAAACTTCCCAGATATGCACTGTGGCAAGTAAAGTGACAAAGATTTCATTCAAGGCAGAACAGAGAGGGTTTTTTTTTGGGGGGGGGAGGGCGTCTGTAGGACAGAAATTACATGAAGAAGGTGCCCAAGTAGCTTGTAACTTTTGCCTTGAACACTTGCAGGGCCTCACCACAAAAAGGCTTCTAGCCATCGCCTTCTTTCTGGATAGAGGCCAGGTGTCCAAACTGGAAGTCAAAATAGCATTGTTCAGGGGAGCCTGAATTAGAAGACTCCAACCTTGGGTTAACTCCACCAGCAATGTTACTATTGTGCAATGTTGTTGCTGTCGTGTATCATTGAGCAGGAACAAACTCATAGCTGACCCACTCCAGTGGGCTTTCAGAAGTAGTATATCACAAAGGAGAGTGTCCATCCTGCTTCTGCAGAGCAGCTGATGGATTCGAACCATTGGGATTTCAGTGCAGCAATTTACCCCTAGGCCACCAGGGATCTCCCACACCAGCAACAGTTTGGAAGAATTATCTGAGTTGACA